AAAGTAAACTGGGTATTAGAATAAGTGAGTGACTTACTGCCTAAGGAAATGCCACCAAACAGTCAGAAGCTTGTGTGATAAACAACTAGAGCTTCCACCAGATCCAAACCAAGGCCAAGGAGAAATCAAGTTCACACCAAGCAATAAGAGTGTCACCAGAATCAGCACTAGTGTTCAGGACCCAGTGAAAACAATAAGAAAGACATACGCAGCATGTGGACAAAAGTGCCAGAGATGAGAATTGATGGGAAAAAAAAAAAAGAAGATTTTGAAGAAAATGAAGTGTAGAAATGCTATGATCCTTCCAGCTCTGTTTGGCTCAGGGCAGTGTTTTTCAAACATTTTCTGTTAAAAAATTTTAAAGCTTTGCCCTTTCATTTAGATAACAATCTGAAAAAAAGTACATGTAACATACAGATACAGGTAGATAGGTATATGTATATGTGTATATGCACAGTCATGCACCCCATAATGTCCATTTGGGCAATGTCCGACCGCATATACGTCAGTGGTTCCATAAGGTTATAATAGAGTTCAGAAATCCCGATTGGAGAACGAGATGTAGCAGACATAACCAAACGGAGCAAATGCCAACAGCTTCCTGCACACAACAGTGTATCTCATGTCTCCTGTATACAAAGTGACTGCGCTGCTAGGCATATAATGGTATGGTAAATTGTAGAGGGAGGTTATCTGTCCCAGCAAATAATGTGGTGTTCGCACGACGTCCAAATCACGTAATGTCTTATTCACAGAACAAATCGTGGACATTGAGCAACGCATGACCATATGTACATATATGTACACACAGACACACACATGTAAAAAGCATAGCCTGGAAAACCTGGATGACCACCTTATAAAAGAGTTCTGTCAAGTGACTCAGAGCCTGCAGTTTTCCTGAACATATGGGCTATTGTGTTGATGCCACATGCACTATTCGGGGAGTCAAGGAGCACTGAGAAAAACATAGAGGCAGGCAGCATACGCTAAGAATCATTTCCCCCAAGAGAAGGCCTCATGACAATGACATCTGACAAATATTATCAACCAAAGTTGTGCAACAGTTTATATAGGGATAAGTAGTGGGAGAACTGATGTCACAAGGTACCCAGTAATAAAATGACAATAACGCCACCTACAAAACACTTATCATGTGTCTGCTACTGCTCTAAGCATTTTATATACATTAACTCATTTAATCCTCCCAGTATTTCCTATGAGGTAAGAATTCTTATTCGTCATCTCGGTCAGAAAGGTTGAGTAATTTAGCCAAGGTCAGAAAGCTGGTAAGTGGAAGTCTAAGGCAGTCTGGCTCCTGAGCCATGCTCTTAACTATTACACTGTACTTGTGATAATATTAATACCCACCTGTGGGGTTTACATTAACTTTGCCCAAAAAACTTTGGTCTTTGTCTTCAGTTCTTAGCGGATCATCTCCAAAACCTTGGAATTTCCCCAGTAATCAAATGTTTTTGATGAGGGCTCCAGACCCAACCTAATCTAACAGGTTATGCTAGTGAGTTGACTCTCGGATGGGGGCTGGCCAGGCCAGAAAGACCACCCTGTGATAGAACCTTATGATCACTTCCTGATATTGATCAACCTCAGGGGAGAGGGACTAGAGTTCAAATTACATAATGAGACCCCCAATAAAAGCTCTGGACAAGGAAGCTCCATGGGCTTCCTGATTGGTGAAAGACACCATACACATGGGAGGGTAGCACGTCCCCTTTTGGGACATGGAAGCTCTGTTTGCGAACCCTCCTAGACCTAAGCCTATGTGTCTCTTCACTTGTATTCTTTTTCCTACAATAAAACTGTAATCACAATTATAGCACTTTGTCAGTTTTGTGAATTGTTCTAGTAAATTGCTGAACCTAAAGGAGTAGTGGGAGCCAGCAGGTCAGAAGTGAGGGGGACTGGGAACTCCTGAGCTTATGGTTGGTGTCCTGAGTGGGCAGAAGGAATGCCCAGATTTGTGGCCAGCAGGTCAGAAGCGAAGGTGTCATGGGGACTCCCAAGCTTGTGGCTGGCATCTGA